GGGAGTGCGAAATGTCCTCGAAATCTCTTCTCCTCCTCCACCCCATCCCCTTTATACGCCTGCTACGCAGGCTAAAATACCCATGGTGAGACCAAAGGTGCCTGATATAATGCTGAAGTCCCTATTTTCGTACCGCTCTCCAACTAACCTCAAGACTGGAACAGGCTAAATTCTACTAAAGAGCTCTAAAGAGCTCCTGATTGGCTAATTGCAAATTTGAGTGAAGTAATACTTTTAAAGGAGCACTCACCATTTTCCAGTCCCTCTCAACTTTACGGACAATAGAGCTGTACCCAGCCACTCTGGATTGCCAGCCAGATAAATCTAGTTTTCTATCGTAGCCTCTAAGATACTTGTTTATGACACAGTTGAAGCAAATTCGTAATCTGAAAGGCAATTTAAGCACACGGGGTCAGCAAGTCCTTAACCTTTAAACAAACTATAATCGTTTATAATGTGAAAACGTACACAGAATCGGCGTTTAAAAGAATTGTTATTTCACTCACAGTTTTAGGTAAAGTCCTTAAGAATTTCGGGTTTTTTCCCCCTTTTTTGAGCTGTCAGCATCACATAAAGAACAGCAATTTAGAGGCGAGATAATAAAACTTGTTGAAAGGAAGTTCAATGTATATCTGAACATAGAAATATTTTGTCTTTGGCACGTGTTATGTTTTCCTCATTGATATTTCTTAATAAGTCAAGTTTCTTTTGAGGCTCTCAGGGTTGTTACTATCTGACAGTGAGGGTCGCTAACTTCACGATTTGCTATCAACTGTTAAAGTTTCATGTATTCTCAAGGGTGGAGCTACTTTGGAGGGGTCGTGCGGGACTTTAAGGCATCTGCAGTTTCTCTAATCTATGACGACGAAACCTTACATATTCTCACCTCTTCTCTTTAATTTCTTCGTCGGTTGGTTTATAAATATAAGGTTCGTGCTACAATGAAGAAAAGGATAACAAACAACAAATGAGCACAGATTTTCACGATTTTATTTCTCCGTTTTCTCCTTAGTTTTAGTCCCATTGTATCAAACACTAGGGCAGTGTTTGATCACATTTCCAGACACCTCGAAGTTCGTCAAAAATACTCCGCTGCGCATCGTATTTTCAACTCTCCTCTCGGTGTTTGGAAATGCACTGAAAGACGGTCTTTCGTGTTTGATATTGAGTGTCGTAAAACGAACACCAAAGTAATCACTCTGACCAATCACAAAGGTCAAAGAAAATCCTGTGAACCACTGAAAACTCGAAGTAATTACTTCATCGTGGCTGACGCGAAACGCGGGAAAACGTGTGCGAGCGAGTCACGATTGTTTTGGTTTTACTTCTGATTGGATGAAAAAGTGGCGCGAGTTTTCTAAGCCAATCCTGTAGCGTAGTTGATGAAAACCAATTACTTTTCGACACTCAAATGAAAACCGCTCCACTGAGCAAAACCAAATCTAGGAACCTTTGTGCATTCGTCCCTCACCTGCCATTCATTTTCTTGTTTCGTTTCGCCTCGCAGAAGTCTCCAGGCTAAAGAACCTGACGTTCTTCCTTGAAGTTCGTCATTACGCACAGACTTAATGGTGAAGAACTCAACCAGTTCCTTGACTTGCCGATCTAGCAATATTTTTCGCCTTTCTTCACTCAAGTTTTTTTGACGCTAAAAAAAAGTAACAAATATCAAAAAAACTATACAAAATGCTAGAAAGAAGAACCCTTTTGGCTAGCTCCTTCCCGAAAATTAACGAAACAAAACATTATGAAAATAACAAGCTTGGACCAAAAATTAAACAAATTCTACAAGCTTGCATGAATATATCGAATCGCGGCATCCATCTTTCAGCCCATCATTTTCGTTATATTTGTTTAATTCAGATATCTTCATTGCAAGCTTGCTACATTCTGTTGTGTTTTCTATCTTCGTTACTTCTGCCACTTTCTGTATTGTTAACTATGCTATTTTTGGTAGCGTCCTAGCTCTGTGACTGACACTACGCTCTTTTTGTTACAAGAATACTGTTTTTCCTGCCAAGGCTAAATATTCTTATTTTTCTGCCGATTTTCTGCTGAAAACATTGTTATGAATATTCTTAGATTAAAGCGTATGACAATTCTGTTTAGTGT